TATTTAGTGTTTTGATTTAATTTAATTATTATAATTAATTATATTTTTAAATTTTTTTTTTAGTATGCTATAATAGTAATGTAATATAATATATATACTTACTGTTCTTGTACTATTCAGATGAACAAATTTAGCTAATTGGATTTACAAGAAATAAGGTCATAATTATGTATTCAGATGAAACCAAAAGATCTTTTAATTTTCAAATTGTAGAATCAAGTGAAGATATAATGGATCTTAAAAGTGAGGCAGCTAACAAACTAGATATGGTACTTGAGGTTAGTGAAGTGCCTAGCAAGAAAATGACAAATATAAAGTCAAATTTGATGAAATAAAGGTGTTATTGAACAAAGGTATAAATTAATTAATATAATATTTTATACTGTTTATATTTGCTAATATAACTAATTTCTTTGTTGTTAAAAAGATAAAATTGAGCAGAATTTAGATAATGATAATAATCAAAATTCAGAAAAGGAGAATAGTAAAAAAAGTAATAATAAAGAAGAGAATGCTAATACGATAGAGAATGACTACAAAGAGGAAGTTGATGAAATGTATAAAGGAAAGATGAACTATGAAGCTGATGAGAAGTTAATGAAATGTATAGAGGAGATATTAAAGAGGCAGACCAGATAGATAGGGTGGAATTTGATGGGATAAAGAATAAAGAAATTAGTATTATAGAAAAAAAGAAAAAAAAAAGTAAATGCGAAACATCAAGAAATAGTGGTATATATATAATAAATAATTAAAAAAAAAATCAAAAAAATCAAAAAAAAAATTAAATAAAAAAATTAAATAAAAAATTAAAAAAAATTAATTTATTAATATAGAATTTTTTTTTTTAGAATTAATGATTAAAACTGCAAAACAAATTTTATTACTATGCAGTTTTGAGTCTACATGATTTTAATTTATAGCAAAAGAATTTAATTTAAATATTGTAAATTGTAGTTTAGTACTAAGTGCAATAGCACATAGATCCAATTTGAAAAAGATCAAAATATTTCCTGAAAAGGAAAAAGCAGTATTAAAGAATGAAAATGGACAAATCACTCTCGAACTAGCAAATTATGAAGTAATTAAAGAAGTGGTCAATAATCTTGAATGGCCAAAATTTATACTTATAAACTTGGATGATAATAATCTGACAGACACTTTAGGTTTTTATACTAAATATGAAAATTCTCCCAAAAATGGACTTTTAAATAGTAATAAGCTCAAAACAGCTAATTTATATTGTGAGTTTCTTTTTTTACAAAATAAATTGCCTGTAATAGCTCTATTTTTTTATCCCAATTCTGGAATCAAAAAAATAGAATACTACAGGAACATAATAGATTTTCTGAAAATAGTAATCCAACAAAGAAACTTTATCTATTCAGTTCAATTTGATACTTCATTAATCCATGAAGCTCTTAAACTAAATTTATTTTAAGAACAAGAAGTAACTTCATTAATAAAAGAACAGGAAATATCTCTGTTAATAGAAGAAGCTAAAAATATACAAGATGCAATCTTATTATTAAGAAGGGCATTAGGATTACTATCTAGTCTTAGTATTAATTATTTTTTAAATTATAATACTGAAGTATCTAACCAAATATCAATATTCTCAACATTTATGACAACATATTACCAATCAATTTATAAGATTGATATTAGTTCATATGTTCGGAGATAACAAGATGCATGTCCTTAAGATTCTTATATAAATTTAAAGAAGCCTATACCTTCTTAAAGGAATGGGTTTCAAACTTTGCCACTAGATCTAAAGGCATAAAATTGGCAATATAAGTGTATTTACTTTTAATTGGTAAAACCTTAATTGAACAACTCTTTGAAATAAACTCAATGAAATCTGATCTGTTTAATATTAAACATATAGCCAATGAAAAAGAAAAAAAAGAAAAAGAAGTATAGAATCAGACAAAATTTCAATAAACATTCCTAGATTTTCTGACAAAATTTTATTAAGAAAACTTAACATATTTACTATAGTAGGCCCAAGATTAATGCAATTATTTAAAATATTAAATAACAATTGGACTACTTTAGACTTAGTCAATAATGTAATGATAACTTGGCTTGAAAACTTTTGCAAGAAAGAATAAACAGCTTTTATTAACCAAATTAAAGATAATTTTATTAATATTAATATCCTATTAATATATTGTATAATAAATAAAATACTAATAATAAATTTTTTTTAGGTAATAGTTTGAAAGACAAAAAAAAAAATCAATTACTTTTCTATACACTTTATAATTTTGTTTTAAATAATATTTTGTAAAAACAAAATATTTTCTGATTAATATACTATATTATGACATTGTCTTTTTTTGCAAAAAATTTTTCTGATATTCATGTTGATTCACTTTTCGACACTTCAACTACTCTATTCTTTTAAAACTTAGAATACATATATTTTAAAATTTAGTAATTTTATACTGTATTACTATAAATTT